CCGATATTAGAGACTGTGGATTGGATCAGTCTCGAAAAAGTGATAATATTATCTGAGGTGCTTATATACAGTTCCAGAATAGAGAGCACATTGATGTAGGTGGAGAGTGTCATGAAACATATATCGCCAAGAGCAATTAAGTGGGAAATAAAAGACTGGAGCAAGCAAGAAAAAAATCAGACCAATGCTTAGATGGGCAAAGGAAGGAAACCCTAGCAATTGAATAATAGTTGTAGTGTGAGAGGAGGTGTGTATTATTGGAAATACATTTTCGATTTAAGAAAATGTTAACTTTTAAATGTTTCAGATTGGGAAGATGTAGATGAGACAAATAACATTGAAGCAGTAGATGATGATGAAACTTTGGAACCTCAGTCCACCCCAAAGCCAAAGAAAAAGAAACCTAAAGATGAAGAACAGAGAATAAGGAAAGAACATGTTAATATTGTATTTATTGGTCATGTAGGTAGGTGTCAAGTTGATATTATATATGTTAGGTATTTTTTTCTTGTGGACTATATTTTTATTCACATTTTCTAAATAAAAAGGAAATAAAAGTCTGAATGAAAAACAAAAAACCTATTACCAAATGTATTATTCATATAAGCAAGTGATTTATTGAATATTGCCTCTAATGTACCTCAAAACAGGATTTAGCATGAGAGTAAAAAAATACTTAGTTTTTTTCAATCAATTTCTTGCTGATATTGTAATAAGTTTTCTTATTGCACTTTTATAGGTGTAAAAAATATAAAACTAATAAGCACTACAATAGCTTTCTATTGATATACCTGACATTCAAATCCTAAATACTAAAAAACCTGTCAGTGAATATTGATACTTTAGTTTATACACTATTATTTATTTAACCTTGGATATATTTAAGTGGTGGTTCCTTAATCATAGTGGTATACAATTTAGTTTTTTATGCATGACAACAAAGATATTTATATTTTCTATTGCAAAGCATGATATGCCAGATTTTTGAACACTTTTTATTATATGATATATTGTTACTCATTTGTTTTGTTTTTATTCAATATTTGGCTCTTTGATCTGTTTTTTAAGCTTGTTTAGAATTAAAAACATTTAAGAGAAAAATCATGAATTTAGATCAAATGAACTAGGCTTAACAGACTGCCCATAAATTGACTTGCTCAAATGGACCCAAAAGGCAGCCTACGATTAAGCATGCAATATTGCATAAAACTAATGCCCTTTAAGTATTTTTCAAAGAACAGTCATTTTCACATTCTCATGATTATGTGATAATTTTTTATAGGGTCTAATAAAAGGTATAGAACATTTGTTATTCTCTTCATTTGTTTAGATGCTGGCAAGTCAACCATAGGTGGGCAGCTTCTGTAAGTGATTTTGATTAAGTTCCATTATTTAGTCATCTTTTCACACCTTGAAATTCCTTTGAAAATATTACAAGATGAGAATTACCTATGTAAAATGTGCTAATATTGTTTCCAGTACCTTCTCTTATTTGTTTGTATGTTATTATTCCTGCAAAATTTCTTTGTAGACAACACTTCTTTTATAATATCTTTTATTAGTGAGTTTTCCTTGTTTGTTATTTTGTGAAGTTTTAACTTTGATATCTTTAAAATTTCTGACTCTTGAAAATGCAATATAATTGGGCCATAGCTGAAAGTTGTTTGTGATAAATCTAGTCCTATTTTGTAATGTTTAGCCTTGAGCTTTATTGATAGTCATTGCAAAAGTGATTCTTATTGGAAACTGCCTTCACTTGTTGTTAAATTGCATTGTTGAATCAGATAGCCACAAATCAATTCTTGGGATCAAAACTCTTGTAGATTAGGCCTCACCAGTCAGTATCTTTTTTTTCCGTCATATTAATGTGAAGATTTTGTATTATGAGTTTACTAAATTTCTTTAAGTTTCTAATCAACATGCCTGTTGTTTCTTTTTTTAATATCAATCTTTGTGGTGGTAAGCCTGCAGGGGTCAAACTGTTGGTATATTACTGTACTTGTTTGATACTGTAAAACAATCTTCTGGTTATGGAGGAATTTGTCCATTTCCCATATTTAGTGATCATTTACTGAACTCTTGTTGTTTTATTCCAGTTTTCATATTTTTTTGCTATTCTCAGTTTTTTTACTTTTGGCAAAAACTTTGAAAATTTTATCGATGCTGTAACTATTGTAGAGTTAGGTCTATGTCTGACAACTGGTAGCATTTGCCTGAAATCCCTGCAAAATACAATAATGTTGTTTCCAAACAGTTTGTTTCTTTTGATGAAATCTCTAAGTAGTCTATCCAAGCCATCTCAGCCACTCCTTTCTACTGTTGATGCATCATCCCATTAAATTAGAGAAGACTTGCACCTAACTTATTTATATTTGCTTCCAAGCTTTATTGGATTTTTCCCACATTTAATGATTTGGTATGTTTATATATGAGACATTCTTTGTGGAAGAATTTCTTTGTAGCATAAACCATGCAGCTAATGTTGTTCTCTAGTCAGATTTTTCATTAATGCTTGCTCTTTTTGGCTGACAATAAAAAAAATAATTGTTGTACCATTGGAAAATAGACAGCTAACCTTATTATGGTATATTTTTGGCCATCATTTCAAATTATTTATTTCATTCCATTCTAAAAGGTACTTTACACCTTTAACACTTGAACAAACTTCAGCATTGATATGGGCATTGTATTTTATGTATATAAAAGGGGGTTGAATTATGCAATCCAGCAATTATCTACTTCTGAATATAATTTGAATTTTTTCCCATTATTTCTTCTTTTGTATGGAAGATATCCATTTTCATTTTCTGTATGTACTGAGAATGGATTTATTTCACAATATAGACTATGAATCATACATGATTTTACTATATCAAATATGCATGCATTAGTTGTTAAATCAGGGATTTCTGCATTTACTGTGTTATTGTTGGCTTACTCACCACGTGGTTTATATTCATTATTGAGTATTATGATCATATGTATACGAGGTAAACCTTTTTTCTGAAACTCTTATTATAGATACATAAGCTGAAATTTTTCAAACTACATCCCCCTTTAACAAATGTCTTCAAAGTTGTTAAAGTGTGAGGTGAGACACTAACTTTATTTGGACTTTTTTCTACTCTATCCCAAGCTTTTAGATTATCTACTGCACATAAATGTAATAAAATATATTGGGTTTCCCAAATTTTTCAACTGTTGCCATTGCATCTTTGAAATGTTGTTGCACCTTAAGTGAACTACCTATGAAACTAGAAGGCAAAATAACTATTTTGCCTGGTGAAACTAGAAGTTCAAGTCTAATGTTAATGAAATTCATTAGTTTCTGGTATTTCTTTCCTTGAAGTTGTTGGGTTTTTTTGCAAATATATTTCATTCATTGGCTTCCAACTGTAAAGTAGCTATTGACAATATATTGTTGGAATAGTTTTCCCAAATTGTGAAGGAGGGCAAATAGCATCAAATACAATATGATACGATATGAGTAATAATATAATGATGTAACACATTAACACTGTGATGTTCTAGGTTCAATAGTGTATACCAATCCAATATGCCAACTAAATTTATTTGTATAACTTACATTACTAATGTAGTTGAGCTGAGTGCCTTTAGCTTCACAGTCAAAAGTTTTTGATCCAATCAAAATTAGTTCCTCTCATCAAAATGATTATTTCAAATAAAAATCTCAGTATTGATGCTTCTTAACCTTGCTTAGATTATGTTCAAGAAGACTATACCATAAGTAAGGTTTAATATTAAGAGCACTAAATAGGCCTTAGAGCTAACAAGAGAAGTAACATTAGGCATTTGCCAAGAAATTTCATTTAAAGCAAGAAAAAAAAACAATTTTCATTACATAAGGCTGGACATTATGAAGATTTGACTTGCTGTATCCTTCATATTAAAGGTACAGCTTTATAAATGAAAACCTTACTAATGTAGTTGTATGAACTGTACCGTACAACATTACATGGCTAATATATCGAGTTCTGTGATTATAATAATAGTATAGGCTTAAACAAATATTATGTCGAGTTTGGTTTACCTTTTATTATAGCTTGTTAAAAAATAAGGAAAGGCTGCTGCTTTGAAGATTTCTCTGCTCACTCATCAATTAAATTTGATGAACTTCTGTGCAATATTCAAGATGATGCTGCATAGTGACAGATGTACAAGCCCATTTGTTTAAGCAAATGAATCTTTCAACATTGATGTAATCTATTAAGTGATAACTGAAAGAAAAGTTAAAATGTTGATAGGTATTAGAGAGCAGAGGTAAAAGTAGAAGTAGTCAAAACAAAGCTTATAGTTTTTGTTGAATTTCCCACATATGTAGACAGCACTTGTCTAAACCTTTTAGTCAGTATGGGAGGGTAGAGAAGGACACTTGAGAATTAATATGTGAGGATTAGGAAATTGCTTTTAATAACTTATTATAAAGCTTAGTTTAATTGAGATCATGGAATCAGTGTACTATTTTCTACCATAAAATACTTATAGTTTGTAAGTTGCAATATGATTCTTGTTATAATCTATGAATTATTTGGTGAGCAATTTTTTAATAAGAAAAATTGATTCTCACCTATTTCTAGAAAATTAGTTCTGATAGGCAGTTTCTATAGCACTTATTTATCTGTAATGACAGTTATTTGACTGGTATGGTTGATAAGCGAACCCTTGAGAAGTATGAAAGAGAAGCCAAGGAGAAAAACCGAGAATCTTGGTATTTATCGTGGGCTTTAGATACCAACCAGGTGAGGTTTACTATAGAGTTGTGTTTATAAATTAACAAAATTCATTTGTGGTAGAATAAAAGCTGTGTTTTAATGACTGTTGATGGAAAATTCTACACACAAGAAAGACAAGATGAGTTTCTGATAAATTTGTTATTTAGTAAATATGTAAGTGAGATGTTTTCATCAATATTTTGAATATTCCTGAGAGTGAAAAGGATATTTTTAGTTTTTGTCAAACTCTGTAACTACATTTGTTAAATCTAGCCCTTTGTGTACTGTTTCAGTTTTGGTTATCAACCCTATCTTGACAAGTCACATGTCAAAGGCCATGTCATATTTTATGAATTTATGTCAGTAAGTTTGGTATCAAATTGTAGATTATAATTCAAAACTTAGGATTATATGTTAGTTAATTTCTTAATATAAAAGTAAATATGAAAAAAACATAGATAAAATCAATTTTTGTGTGCCACATGGTATGTTGAAAGCAGTACTGGTTCAAATTAGATGCTTGTGATGTCAAAATACAAAATCTACAGTTTTGTATGAATTAGGAACTCAAACTACCAATATTGATAAGAATCTCTTATCTTTTCTATTTGCTAAGATATCGCTCATGTACTGAATCAAACACAGTGACCCTCTGCCCACCTCTTTCTATTTTTGGAAAGGTCCCTTACTTCAATATACGACATGAATAACCAAGCAAAAGCTCAGAATGTCCCCCTAGTGGTTTTCTCAGTATTTTGGTGTGTTATTGTAATAACTTCGTTCTTTTCGTACAAGATTTCAAATGATAAGGGTAAGTCTTTAGTGGACTCAAAATTGAATATTTTTTTAAACCCAAATACAGCTTAGTTACTACGCTTGATAAATTATAATGGAATTCTGTGGTATCGATATTATGATTTTTCTGGTTATTTAAAATGTATATATAAAACCTAAAAAAAATTTCTGTTCACATCCTCCATGTGGGAAATTTCATAATACTTAGAAACCTATGACAAATGGCAGACAAGTACAAAGGTCATAACAAGAAGAGATAATTGTTTGCTTTACTTCTTTATTTACTGTTCCATGTTGTAAGAAAAATAAGTTTAAGAATTTATTTGTAAATAGTGATAATGTATATACATATATAGTGTATACTAATTGAAATGTGACTGTATTTTACAAAATACTAGTCCACTAAAACACAACCAAGACAGCTAATTTGTAAAGACTAAAGGGGAGTTGTGTATTATTGGATATGGTAACACATGTGCCACATCATCGTAACTTTTGTATTGTTAACCAGGCTCGGCTGGAAGATCAGTATAATAAATGTATAATGTTATGAGGTTTAAGCTATGTAGACTAAACATTTGATTTTTGTGTTATAATTTGTAGTCTAGAATGAAAAAAAGCATAATTTATATTTTTTCTTAATTTTTTATTGAGGTTACAAAGTCTGTCAAATCAAACCAACACATATAGTAACACAGTAGTGAAAATAACAAATAGAATATGTTTTTCTAAAAAAAATGTATAATCATGTGGAGATTACATTTTGCATGTGAAATTTGAAAATGTTCTAATGTATTAAAGCATTTTTAATCTTAAAAATCAAAATTACTTTGCATGTTTGATAGTCAACTTTCTGAAACAAAGAGGTTGACGAGAAAATCTGTAATTAAAAAGTCTTGATACTTAATTTACAAACCTGATGTTTTGTGTATGAAAACCTTGTAATGTTTACCAATAACCGGTAAATTTGGTAAAGATGTGCATACATTATCAAAAATCATAGTATAATTACTCTCATGGTTACGAGCTGGATGGATTCCACCCAGCCTGTAATGGAAAGGTTAATAATGTTCACCAGCTGAAACGATTGAAGGAATACTAGAATGGCCTTTGATTTCATATAACCTTGAGTTTTAATAAAATAGAAATGTAGTAGAGCTAGGAACAATATGTTTTGAGTACTTGCTTATATGACAGAAAAAATTTGTTAAAAATCCTTTATATGGGGGATTCACATGTTTATGTATTGCATCACCTTTTTGATACCTAGTTTGTCCACTTTGATAACTTGTGAGTGATAAAACGTCATGTATGAGGTGTGTAATTTTAGTGGAGTTCTTAATAACTGGGTATGTGAAAATGTTACAAATTCATAAGGTATAAATATTATAAACTTTTTTTACTATAAAAAACAACAGCATTAGTTATATTGGTTATATCACTGTAAAACAGGAGGAAAGAGACAAAGGAAAAACAGTTGAAGTTGGACGTGCTTACTTTGAAACAGAGCACAAACGTTTTACCCTTCTTGATGCTCCTGGGCATCGAAGTTTTGTTCCTAACATGATTGGTGGGGCCTGTCAAGCTGACTTAGCTGTATTGGTGAGAACTTTGTTCTTTCTTTTGTTTTTACATTTTTGGCAGATATTTTAGAACTTTTCATCTAAATTGAAATATTTTTATTTGAATATAATTTTGTAGTATGATCTTGATTGTGTTGATTTTAATATCAGTTTTAATGTAATGCTGCAGATTGTCTTGATTGTGTTTTAAATAACAATAACAAGTTTTAAATATTACTAATAGCATTAATAAACTTTGTAGGCTCATTTTTTGAGAATAACATTACTTTGTCGATTGGGTATGTTGACAGTAGTGTTTGAAAACTAATACTATAATAGATTTAATAGTACATTTCGCATTAGTTATGTTGCTGATGGTGTTAGATGTACACGACTGTTTCATTTAAATTTAATACTAGAGCTATGATTGAGATAGTTATAAAGCGTTAGTGGTAAATTTAATATTGTTATACGTGATAGCTATAGCAAGTTTGCTTAAGTAACTGTTTACTAATCATTTGTTGCATAGTTCAGTTGTTATTAATTGATGTCATATTAATCAATTACTTAATTGTGTATTTTGACAGTATAATGTCTTATAGTTTGTAGAAAGTTCTTATTGTAGAAAGTTCTTATTAATTGATGTCATATTACTCAATTACTCAATTGTGTATTTTGACAGTATAATGTCTTATAGTTTGTAGAAAGTTCTAGGCCTCAGTTTTTACAGCTTGTATTGTAATAACAGAGATAGAGAAAAATAATTTGCCTTATCAAAGGGGGTTTTAATGTAACTGAACCCATCTGTGTGGACTTTGATGAAAAGAAGATAGTTATTTAAAGCTCTGAGTATAACTGTGATAAATAACAATTATAGTGGTGATTTTAAAGAAAGTATCAAAATTGTATTGTAATAACAGAGATAGAGAAGAATAAATTGTCTTATCAGAGGGTGTTCTAAAGTAATTGAACCCACCTGTATGGACTTTGACAAAAAGGAGACAATTATTTAAAGCTCTGGATACAACTGTTGTAATCAATAGTGTAATGAATTTTATAAATATGTTTGACTTGGTTTGAATATATTATTTTCAAACAAATGGATTGTGTGCTATCTGTATATTGTTGAAATTTATCACCAACAAGACACCAACTGTAAATATATAATTTGGGCTGTATAAAGCTGACAGATGGTAATGTCTAGTTTTCTACTATCACTAATAGCATTTTCTTTAATCAACAGTTTCACATAAATTTACTTTTTAAGGATTAATAATACACTTAAGGATTAATAATACACAATAATAACCTGATTGTTAGTAATCAAATTATTAATTTTACATTTATCAGTAAATATTCAAGAGCCCTTTTTTATATGCATTGGTTTAATTGTGATAGGTACAAATATATTATTTTTGTTACATAAGCATATATTCTTGAAGTTTTAAAACCTGCTTTAGGTAATTTCTGCAAGAAAAGGAGAATTTGAAACAGGGTTTGAAAGGGGAGGCCAAACCAGAGAACATGCCATGTTAGCAAAAACAGCTGGAGTAAAACATTTAGTAATCTTGGTGAATAAAATGGATGATCCAACTGTTGAATGGTCTGAAGATAGGTAAATATGTAATATTAGTTTATAATTTATGTTGAATTAAGATTTTTTTTATTATTAATTTTGTAATTCTCTCCCCCCCCCCCACTTTTTTTTTTTTTGGCTGTGCATTGCATTTTATAGATAATTAATTTGAATGCATGTACTTTCTTTTTTCAAGGACAACTGTATGTTTTTAGTTTTGCTCTGCACATTATTTAATTATTAAAAAATTGTTCACTGATATCTTCTCAAGGTTAGAAATGGAAATTGCAATGTCTGTTTGTAAAGAATACCAATCAGGATGGAGGATAGGAGCTGTACTTATCATATTGGTTGAGCTTAGTATAGTAATACCTTAACATCTTGGTATTTATGTCCACACGTCATATTGGGGGCTGGAATGCCTTTTGCCAATACCTTTAAAAACCAGGGCACATTTCACCTTATGGTTTGTGCCCTGGTCTTGGATGTTTGTATTGTGGGTGTGAATTTTTTTTCTCTCATGAATTTACATTTAATTATATATATATAAATATGTAAAGCTTAAGAATTAAGCATTAAAAAATACTTAGATGCTTGAATAACAAATTTTATAAGAAATCCCCCAATATAGAAGTAAAGGTGATCTTGATAAAAAAAAATAACTTAATTCATGATCTATCCCACAATATAGAAGTAAAGATGATAAACTTGGTAAATACACTGAAGTGTTAGTGGTTCACTGGAATATTTGTCTGAAATTAAGAGTAGGTAGTATCTGACCTTATTCTTTGATGAACTTAACGGGTTGTAGCATCTTGTATTTGTTAGCAATCTGGTACCAAGTTTTTGTGAAACAGTGGAATTAAAGGACTACAGCAATAAGTGAGTCTAACATTAAGGTTACTGTTAGTGAGAGACTAATCTTTATTTAAATAAAATTGAAATAGTTTCTTTTATCTGGACTACATGTAGGCAATCCAATATATGCTGTTTCTCTAGTATGTTTATGATTCAAATGGAAATGGTAGTTCTCTATACTGGGTTATACACCCCTTATTATTGGATGATATATGACATTTGCTGATAATTATTCAGAAATATCTGAAAACTCCTTTTCTGAGCTTATTAACAATGCAACATACTTTGAAATATAAAAACTAATAACCAATTGCCTTTTTATTTTAATGCTTAAAATAAAGATTATTTGTACTGGTGCACAAAGCTTGGAACAAGAAATTCAGCTCATTAAAACACACTTCATACAAGTTAATAAATATCCTGAAGTAGTTCAGATTTTTTTAAATATAAATTTGTCTCCAAGTAGCAATAATCTGAATGTTGGACCCATTTATTGCTGTATTCCTTTTATTCCATCTGATTCTAAATTCAGATACTAATAAGAAAATTGGACAATGTTGCTAGCAGATATTACAGCCAGTTAAGTTCAGTATAGAATCATATCAAATGCTATCTACCTTTAATTTTAGTTAAGTATCCAAAAATACCAACACTTGGATATACTTGCCAAGTTGTCCATATTTTAATATAGAAGAAACAGGTCATGAATTAGGAGTACAGCTGAAAGAATTTTTTCATTCCTTTTCGTGTGTATTTGAACATCAGTGAGTTGAGTCACATAAAACAGACTTTAATAATACTAAAATCATACCTAGGGAACTAATAAACTTTACAAAAAACAAAAGAAGCTCTGTTCACTTTACAATTGAGCCTTCTTTTAAATAACGTCTTGGTGTCCTCTTATATTTATGTCACTGGAACTTCACATGAATTGTATTTATAGCAATTCACTCACTTCCATGCTGTTCCTGGTAATGATGTCATCAAAGAAATGTTAAACATTATTTTAGTGCTTGTTTTTAATCACATCCAATTTTATCTGTTTTAATTTTACTATAGAATTGTTAGAATCAATTTGTATTTACTTGGGATAATCCATGGCCTCACTAGAGCACATTCATATCAATTCTTGGACAAACCATAGATCTTAGTTTTTTTTAAGGGCCTGGTTGTTAGGGTACTGGACTAGCAATATGTGGTTCTTGGGATCAAAACCTTTCACCAAACATGTTTACTCTTTTAGCCATTGGAGTATTACCAGGTAATGGTTAATACCACTATTCATTGGTATATCAGCAACAACAGTAACCCAATAGTTAGCAGTGGGTGGTGTTGACTAGCTGCCTTTCCTATAGTCTATCACTTGCAAATTAAGGACAGCTAATGCAGATAGACTTTGAGTAGCCTTGTGCCAAAAATGTAACGTATATATATAAGCCAAAAATATATTATTAATCATCAGCCTGAAGTAAGCAACTTTATAGTTTTTTGGTGTGTTTTTTTCTGTTAGCTTAAAACTTTAAACCACTTTTGAAATCAAAAATTCTCTTACCCTCACTACCTTAAAAAAGTAAGAAAATTAGCAAAACTATTTTTAAGCTCTTGACTGACTTTCCAAATTATAAGAAGGTTCTATGTTGAAAACTAAATTTCAAGTACAACACACTTTTTCTAATTAAGGATCATTTAAAGTTTCCAATTTTAACCTGCCCTTTAACTTTATCCAGACCAGTAAGTTGACATTTTGTCACCCTTTTGTTTTGTTTTTTCTAACACTTAAAATGGTCACCCTAATTGCATGAAATTTGGTAAACACTTTCAAAATAGTATGTACTTTGATAAAAAAATATAGAAAATTGGATTTAGTATTTGTGTAGGTTGTGAAACATTAAAAAATACTTCCTTTTATCTTGGTGTTTTTTTTTATTGTGTGCCTTTGGTCATGGATTATTAGTGATCAGAAACTCCATCTCGTATATCAGGCATGCAATAGCACTGCCTATGTAGGGATGGCTCGAATTGCTCATCAAAATAGTATTTGAAATATCTCAATAGGTTATCAGAACTTTATAATACTATACAGTGTTTTCTTTTATATCAATATCTAATGACTGAGCCACAAGTTCTGTGAATGTTTGTAAATATCATAACAAAAACTTTGAATTTCTTCTTTCTTCTACTTCTTCTTTATTACATGATAACTCAAAAACCAAAACAAAAGTGTCAACCAGTTTCACTGAGGTGACAGTTTCAAATGGAGTATCTGCTTTTATAAGTATTATTATTAATAACTGGTAGTAATTAAAAAAACAAAAATCATAATTCTAGTGTAAACAATGTTATCATTACCTCTTGAAATTAGCTTCCTTACATAAATTGTGTTCCTTGAAAAGCTTAAGTACAGAGTGTAACAGGATTTACTAGCTGATAATAGATAAACGATAAATATTAAAGTTGGAACCTCATTGTATTTTGAGCTTGTTTATAAATACAACCTTCCTATGTCTATTGAAATACTGCCTTAAAAAAAAGCAAGAAAAGAGAAAAAAAATTCAAAAAAGGAAGTAAATGTAGGGGTGGCTAATACCAATCCTTCAAAAACAATGCAAACAAGATAGTAGAGATGGCATTTGTATCATCCCTATATAATAGCACAGGCACACAGTGTAGTAGACTGTTTGCATTGTTTTTGAAGGATTTATATTAGCCATCCCTGTATTTGTTTTATTTTCATCAGTTATTTCTGTTTATTATTTATCTTTACCTATTGAAGTAGCTATGTAGCCACGAAAACAGCATAAAACACTGATTAACAGTAAAAGTGCTGACTGGTAGAACTAACTTGCACTTGTATCCTAGGCCTACCCTGATATAGGCTATATTTTTGGTTCTGCTGAATTCCTCCTTAATTTCCATAACTAAGGAATTTTTTGACTTGTATGTATTGTTTGAGTAGTAATAAAATTTACTAATATGCACAAGTAAAAAAGCTTTCCTATCATGTGAATAGCTTGCCATTGCAGAACTCGTAGCTTATTGTACTTGCTAACCCTGAGTATTCTTAAATTGTGTTTTCTCATATAAGAATATTCTTTTATTTTTAAAACCTACATAACACAAAATCATTATCACAAACAAAAACATAGTCAAAAGAAACTATTAAAAAAATCCCAGGTTTGTTCATACATATGAGAACTTCTGTTTTCTGATACAGTCTTACTTATTCTCACACAAAACTGTCTCAATCTTTTTTTCTTCCCTTTAAACATTGCAAAAAAATTGTTGTGCTCAGTGCACCAGTTTATATACCTCATCAATTTTGTGCATTTTAGAACACATCATGTGACTACTCTCCACCAATAGTATTGCACCACCTGTATTAGTGCAGCTAACTCCCTCTACTATTCCCACTGAATCGTCACTTTCTTGAGTGGCAAAGCTTTGTTTAGACATGTATTTTTGCATGTGGGTTCCATTTATGACTATGTTTATATGCCATTTAAATTTTTTCAACAGTTTTCTTTTACTGTGCTTGCATTCTATTGTTTTAACGACATTTTTCTTGCATTTGTTTCTTGTTACCAAATTCTACAAGAATTTGATATGAATTTGCGATTCAATGTGTCGACAACACTAGCTGATATGACATCCCAGGAATCAGGTTGGACTTTATCTGCAGAGGAGGTACAGATCTTAATTCGCAGGGAGCTAGATTCATATGTTTGGCCTGTGATTTCTTCTCTTTTTCAACCTGACTATATTGCTGAGGAAGAATACAATCAAGGAGAAGACAATTTGGACTCTCTTTTTAGGGCACCTTCTTATTTTGGTCTGTCACACACTACACTTCTTTAGGAGATTTCGTTTACACCTTTTTTTTTACAGCTGGTTACTCAGGTCGATGCATATTCAATTTTTTCTGTATGTTCAAGACGAGGGTGATTTTGCTAGTTTTCTTTTTCCTGCTCCTGTTGCCATTCTTTCATATTCTTCACTTTGATGAAGATTTGTTCTGGTTATCTTTCTTCCTATGGCTTTCAGATCTCCCAGTAGATTGGTGGTAAGTTTTTTGACTTGTACACTTCACACCTGGTTGCAGTACCCATGGTAGGCATAGCTCAGATGCCCCTTGTGTGGCTTTGTCCTTCTTTACATACAGGAGAATAAAGTATTTCATGTTATCAATGCTCAGACTTTGGTAAGTTAGATATTTGTGTCCTTTGTCATCTGAGTTAACTTAAATTTATTGACAGTTAGATATTGATTATTACTTTGTTTTCTAGGTCATTTTAGTTGGTTTACTTGTTCATTATTATTATATACTTTGTAGACTAAATAAATTTCAATTTCATTAATGAGTGCTTTGTCAACTAGGTATGTTTAGATGGTTTGTACTTTACATATCATTCCTACTAGTAACATCTAATTCAGTGTTCTATTGTTCAATATGTGCCTTTCACACCCTTTTCATTACCTTCCATCTCCCACCATCTGATCTTGATTGGCTTTTTTGTCCAGTTCACTCCTTATGGTACTGACTCCTTTTGGGCATCATGTTCCTAACTTTTTATTTCCTGAAACCCTTCCATTTTCAGTGATCTATCTTCTGTCACATTAACTGGTTGGTTTCATCAACTCATTAGGCTGGCATATTCAGATTTATTCTTAGAAGGTTGCCGTCTCCACAACATTTCTCCTTTTCAGATTCATCATATCACCATGTCTTTGAGTGCTGTCCTTTGGGGGGATTTTTCAGGCTGGAATGTGAACTATTCCAAATACCTTTGTTGCTCATTATCTTCATGATCTGACTGTGTCTTCTTCAGGTAGATATTATGTCTGTCATGATATAAAAGACTGTTTAGTTTAGATATTATTGATTAATTTATTTTGTGAGTGAATATTTTATTCTTTAATTTTGTTATAATAAGAGTTAAAAACAGACGATTGTAGGTTAGCTTCATGCTGAAATTTTCCTTGCCCATAACTTTACTCTGTTCTGCTACTGCCTGTCTGCTGTTTCTGCTCATCTCACACTATTTATATGTTTGTTCCTTAATTGTCTGCTTGCCTTCCAGAAATCTCTATATTCTCGACGTCAGTGTATTGCATGCAACATTCGATAGTCTCAAAATCAGTGAATTATAAACACTTGATTCTTCTACAGTAGGTGTCTGTGACTTGTTAGCAATAAATTCAATGATAAATGAATAGCACACACTTCACTTGTTTTCAAAATAATATATATATAGAGATTATAGGATAACAGACACTATATATATAATTCTCTTCTTCTTGTCAAAAGTCCAGTTATGACTATTCATTTGCATTAGAATTTCAGTTGACAAGCAGAACTACCTTCTCCATTACTATTGCACTAGTTACCGTAATCGTTTGTTCTTCTTTCTTCTCATCCTCTGTTCCTTTTGTCAAAGCACACTCAGCCCAATTCAGTTACTTTAGAAACACACTTTGATGGAATAAATAATTTTTCTTATCAACCTTTCTACTGTTAATCTTACTCTAACACATTAAACATTTGGCCTACCACTTCTATCATAGTTTAAGCCCAACAACAACACAGTATATATTTATACTATTAAAAAGTATAAGTAAAAGCCTTTTATTTGACAATTGGCAACCACACTATAACTATAACATCTGACGGTCTCCCTCCCATGACGATTCTAAGCACATCCATCCACCTTTGATTGGGGTAAGTCTTATAACTTCCTTTCATTTATGCTTTCACTTTCAGCAACACCTATTTTTATCAT